GAAAGGAGAAGTGACATCATCCTTCCAGTTGTACCCTACCAAAAACTCAGAGATTAGTTTTATTTGAGTTTGTTTTTCAGACTGTTGAAAATAGGCTGCTTGCAACAGAGGTGTCAGATTGCCTCTCTCTATGTCAACTTCAAGTTCAAATTTAGGAAGTCATTCTGCCCTCAGAACATGTTGTACAAATTAACAATAGATTTATAAGCCATGAACACATTTTAACAGACCTAAATTTTGCCTAAGTTGTTCTTTCTCACATCTCACTTTTTAGAAGTGATTGTTACTCCCATGATTCACTGGGAATAAAATAACTTATCGGAATCCAGGTTCAGAAGAGAATTTCCAAGAACAACATGGTATTTTTGGTTTTCAATGTTTTGAATATTCCTTCCGATAGTTGGTTTGTTAAGTAACATACTAAAAGGAAGAAATTATTGATTCCTATTGAATTTATTTTATTAAATTGGATTTTTTTTTTACCTAGTAAGACCTTAAAGGAATAGGATAAGAGACAGGTGAATTTTGATGAGCAAAAATGCAAAGCATGAGGCAGTGCCTAGCATGGGAACAGGTGGGAAGAGTAAGCAGTGCCATCATGGGGGATGATGGGAGGCCCGGATGGTTAGGGAGGCAGCATGAATTCACTGGGGACTCTGTTTTTGACAAGACCGTGGCAATATATGCTTTCCCTATTTCTCAACTTGTCTAGGCCTGATCCTAGGAATTCCACTTGCATCACACGTCTTTAGTTTTCCTCTCGTCATTTTCCTATGTTTTAGGAGAGTTTGATGTAGGAAGGTAACAATATCAGATGACATCCAGGCAAGCCTGGAGGAATTAACACGCCTTCCCAAATTATCTAGGTCCTTAAGAGTCTGCATTAATTTCTTTCTTTCTCTTTCTTTCTTCCCTTCCCTTCTATTCTCTCCTCCTCTTTCTCCCTCCCTCTCCCTCTCCCATCCTCCTCTCTTTCCCTCCCTCCCTCTTTCTTTCTTCTTCCTTCCTTTCTTTCTTCTCTTTCTCTTCTCTTCTCTCTCTCTCTTCCCTCTTTTCCCCCTTCTTTCTGTAGTGCTGGGGACTGAACCCAGGTCGTCAAGCACACTGGACAAACACTCTACCAGTTGAACCACACCCCCAGCTCTTTGTTTGTATTTTGTTTTTGAGATAAGGTCTTGCCTGCTAACTTTGCTCAGGCTGGACTCACACTTTGAATCCTCCTGTCTCTGTCTCCCAAGTAACTAAGATTATAGGTCTAGGCCACCACACCGGGCCTGAATTAATTTAACATAAAGGGCTGGAGGAGGTAGATTATGCCTATAATCCCAGCTATCCAGGAGGTAGATACCAGGAGGATCAAAGTTCCAGGCCAACCCAGGCAAAAGTTATCAAGACCCCTCTCAAAAAATAAATAAATAAATAAGCCCAGCACAGCGGTACCTGCCTGTGGTCCCAGCTATGTGAGAGGCTGTAGGTAGGAGAATTGTGGTCCAGGCCACACCAGGCAAAAAGTGAAACCCTATTTGAAAAATAACCAAAAGCAAAAAGGGCTGGGGGAGTGGCTCACGTGGTAAAGAACTTGCCTAGAAAGAGGGAAACCCTGAGTTCAAACCCCAGTACTGCCAAACACACGCACACACACACACGCACAGAGAAGGCTGCAGTCAGCCTAAATGGTTGCATTTGGTTTGGGTTCTTATGACATTATTTGAAATTACAATGTGTTATGAAGTATGTTATTGCCTACTAAACACTAAACAACTTTCTAACAATACCTTCATTGATTCTAAACACCTGTAATTCTGGTGTGAAGCTTGTTACTAGAAGATCAATAATATTTTCTTCAGGTGTATCATAGATACAAGACTTCCATAAAGATGAATGAAGAAAGGTACATCCAGGCTGAAATGTACTAGTCATTAATTACTAGTAAATTAGTTTATTCTTTAGATCTGAAAGAACTGTAATTAAGTATTCCATTTAATTGAATTTCTCTAGTTAGATTATAAGCATTACAACATTTGTGAAGAAATTAAGAAACTTAAATAGAAATAACTAACACAAACAAAACAATCAAAATATCTTTACATAAATGATTCCTAAGAAATCCTCAAAGTTCCTTCTATTTTACATAAGCTCCTCAATTTTTCATCACTCATTCTTTAAAGCCTGCTTCTACTTCCCCATTAAATTCCCTCCAAAGACTTGAATTGAAAAGATTTCTCCCTCTTCTGAATTCATCCTGAACAGAGATGTTATCTCCATGCTTAGCACTTAATTATCCTAATGCAAGTTGGTTTAAGATTTCAAACTCTTAAAGCCAGCACAGTGATAATACATATGCCATCCCAGCACTGGGGGGTTAAGGCAGCACCAGTTCAAGATCAACCTGTGACACATATTAAATTCAAGGCCCACCTGGGATTCATACCAAAACTCAAAACAGTAAGCAAACAAATGAACAAAAAGCTGTCAAACCATGCTTCCTTGAACCCCAGGTAAATTTAATGCAATGCTAGCTCCATTTTAACAAGATTTATGTTGTGTTGGGGATACTGTGCCAGGAATTATGTAGTATGATCCTCTCGGCCACTTTATAGAGTAAATGATCCCTTTTTATTTATTTATTTGTTGTAGTGCTGGGGATGGAACCCAGGCCTCAAGCATGTTAGGCAAGTGTCCTTCCACAAAGCTACATCTCCAACCCCAAAATGATCCCTTATTAGAAGTAAGGAAACTGAGGCATAGCTTGATGTCAAAGCCCCGTCTCACCTACAATGGTATGGAAATATAAAACCAATGGCCTGAAAAGAAAAAAAATAAATGATCCTTTATTCTGAATGAAAATTATGTTTACTTAAGCTAGAAACCTTTAAAGAACTGTATGTTTGAATGTTGAATGCAAATGCAAATTAGTAATCTCTAAATCAGTGCTTGTATTTATCAAATCCTGGACTCTGTGAAACATTTTTTTGTAAGAAAGCACTAACAAGTGAGAAATAACTCGTATTATGTTTTTTTGTTTTGTTTTGGTTTTGGTTTTGGGGGTTTTTCTTTGGTTTTGTTTGGCAGCACTGGGGTTTGAACTCAGGGCCTCACATGCTAGGTAGGCACTCTCACCACTCAAACCACTTCACCAGTCATTTTTTATGATGGGTTTTTTTCATAATACGGTCTCAGGAACTATTTGCTAAGGTCTGGCTTCAAACTGTGATTCTCCTGATCTCAGCCTCCTGAGTAGTTAGGATTACAGGCATGAACCACTGGCACGCAGCGTAACTCGTTTTTTGAGACAGGGTCTCCTTTTGTAGTCCAGGTTAACCTTAAATTCCAGATATTCCTGCCTCAGTCTCCCAAGTGCTGAGATTACATTGGGAGAGGCTCAAGAAATAACTCTTATTTTCAAATCTTATAAAATTAAACGCCTTTGTTTAATTTTTTAATTTACTTCTTTGTTAACTAGAGTGTCAGTGAAAGCTTAAAGATGGAGAAATTGCCATTCATGTATGTAGTTTTTCTGGGGTTATTGGTGGAGAGGGTAAAAAGGCACGACCCAGCAGTTCATATTTCCAGAAGTTTGTTTCTACAACATATTTTGGTCATGGTCTATTTTTACATGAGCCACAGGGAATCAGAACCGGGAAATACGTCTCTAAGGACACATAGCAGAGTACTTTTTTTTTTTAAGTCAACAAGTACTTAGTGAGCCTTTTGTGAGCCAAGCACTGTGGCACTTTAGGCTTTAAAAAAAAGCCTATAACCTAATTTGTTTGTTGACAAAAAGAAGAGAGAGCAGAAATGCATCCATTCCCCAAATCTAAGTTCCTCTTTTCATCAAGTACCTCCCATGTGGCAGGTTTACCCTAAATGCATAAATGTGTTGCTATGTATATTCATACTGAATGGAACGTGGCCTGAGGTGGCAATCACTGTGACCCAGTAAAGAAAATGGAACCAGAAATCAGGTCCTGTGATAGCTCTGTATGTTAGGGTTCTGACTAGTGTGGAAGGTTACTTAAAATTTAAATATTTACAGTGTGGACTTTAGAACACTCCAAATAAATTCCACTGTCTGTTACTCAGGAACCTTAAGTAGCCCTGCCTACATACTAAATTCAAACCCTCAAAACTTCTGAAAAAAAAAAAAGCAAACAAAACAAAAGATAATTGCACAACTCAGTGCTTGATAGAAAAGATTGTTTGGTTTTAAATTTCTTTCTTTTTCCTTTCTCCTTTCTTTACATTTGCAGTGTCTATTCAAGAAAACTGAAAGCAACTTAAATTATAATATATTATAAACGTAAAGTTCAGTGTGAAACCCATTCCTCAGACAATTGTTAATCTCTTGCAGACTCATAGGAGTTAGCAGAAGTTCAGGTTTGGGCTGGCTCAAGTGATAGAGTGGCTCAGGTGGTAGAGTGTTGTCTAGCAAGTGCAAGGCCCTGAGTTCAAACCCCAGTGAGAGAGAGAGAGAGAGAGAGAGAGAGAGAGAGAGAAAGAGAGAGATTCAATACATTAGCATTTCCCAAATGCCCATGAAGGAAAAGTCAAAGTAAAAAATAAAAACAAATTGGAAAGCAAACTTCTCTCTAAGAAGACAGGCTGATTCTTTCCAGACAGGCCATAGAGACAAAAGCAGCAGATAAGTCCACAGTAGGAGCTAATGTATAAAATGACCCTTAAAATCTTCTAAAATCATTTAAGTCTGGGTGCCCTAGAGTGTCAGAGTATTGTTAATGACTAATAAAAGCTCTTTAAAGTTCAGACATTTAGCTGAGGGATATAGTTCAGTGGTACAATACCAGCTTAGCATGCACAAGGCCCTGGGTTTGATCCCCAGCACCACAAAAAAAAAAAAAAAAAAAAAATTCAATCACTTCAACTTAGATTCTTTCTCTTCAGAAGTATGTCTTGCTTTTTAAAACAAAATTTGGTGGGCCTTGAGCTTGTTAAGGCAAGTGCCCTACCACTTGAGCCAAGCCTCCAACTCATAGCTTGACTTTTTTTTTTTTTTACTATGAATTATACTTTATTTAGTCATTTTGTTTACAACTGAAACTCTGGGAATTCAAAATTAACGTCCTTGCCAGTGAGCTTCTTATAGACACCAGAAAACATTTCAACCTTGTGTTCCACGTTGTTCTGCTGTGCTTTGTCCAAATGAACCTTTATGAGCCGGCTGCCATCCAGTGTCACTTGGATCCTCTTGCCCACAATTTCACTGGGGAAGACCAAGTCCTCAAGGATGGCATCGTGCACAGTTGTCAGGGTGCGGCTACTGGGACGCTTTTGCTTATTTTTCCTACGGCTTTTTCGAGTTGGCTTAGGCAGAATTCTCCTCTGGGCGATGAAGACCACATGCTTCCCACTGAACTTTTTCTCCAGTTCACGTACTAGCCGGACTTGGATTTTCTGGAAAGACTTAAGTTGAGGAACTGGAACAAAAATGATGATAGCTTTGTGACCACCACCAACTCCAATTTCCCTGGCCGCCGTGATGTTGAGCTCCCGCAGCTGCGCCTTGAGGTCCGAGTTCATCTCCAGCTCCAGCAGCGCCTGGGAGATGCCCGACTCAAACTCGTCTGGCTTCTCGCCATTGGGCTTCACGATCTTGGCGCTGGAGCTGAACATGGCCTTGTCCTTGAGGAATGCCGGCTTAGAAAGAGGCCCAGCTCTGGCGAGAGCTCGTCGTATCCCTTGAGTTTTTTTTCCTCTCAAAAGTTTTAAACAATACAGAAGTTTATAGAGTAATGTTTTAAGGCACCCCTCCATTCCTGCTTATATTTCATAATTCCTGAAAATCACCTACTGTTAATAGTTTAATGTGTATCTTATAGTTATTTATTTATTCATCTATGCACGTACTCTTGCTTTACTTTTTCTTTGCATAAATAAATTATTTTGTTTTTAAACAATTTGAAAATAAGATGCTAATATAAAGACAATTAAGAGCCCCCCCCCCCCCAGTGCTTCAGTGTGCACTTCTTACATTGTTAATGACATTTACCGTGGCCACCTGGACTTGATACAGGTGATTTCTGCTAGACTTCGCTATTGTGAAGTTACTCTTTTCCCTTTTGTGACTAATAAACGTTATATAGTTCTACTTTTTCCATTTCCTGTCAAGCTTTCAGTTTATTCATTTGTTTATTTATATCAACATGAACTTGTGGTTTCCATTTTATTCAATGGTCTATAATTGGTTGCCATCATTATTTTATGTACTTGCTCAAATTTTCCCAGTTTGGCCAGTAGCCCAATCACACTGGCTTCTGTGTCTTTTTGACATGTCCTTATTATTCTTTGAGCATGTCCTTGCTTTCTACCATACCAAGATAGCCCAACTTCATCTTTTACTTCTTCCACAGCAGCCCTGGAATTAGCCATTGTTTTCAAGGAGTTCAGGTATCTTTTAAAGGAGAGTGGTACTTAGAAACCAATGTCCAGGCACCAGGTGTGCTCACTGCTTGTGGGTGTTGCTGCTCCTATATCATCTCAGTAGGCAGAACAAGGTTCACACTGCCAGTTATAGAGCATTCATCTTTACAAACTTGAAATTCCCTAACTAACCTTGACATAGCTCACATTATCCTTAATATGTTCACTTATCTGATATGCCTTTACATAGCCAGTTTCCCATCATTGCTACTAACTTTCCCCTGTGTAGATACCCTCCGCACCCTAACTGACCTCTGAAACCTCATGGCTGGGTCAACCTAAGTATGGTTGTCCTCCACACTTTGCTTAGTCTCTAAGACCCCAGGTAAATGTCCCATTCTTCCTATTTCACTGTTTTCTAGTTGATGCATTTGTTCTTTTGTTTTCTTCCTTTCTTTATTTGACTATTCTGTGTTTTTGGGGCAACGGGGCTTAAACTCAGGGCCTCGTGCCTACTAGACAAGCACTCTACCACTTGAGTCATGCCTCCAGTCCTGTTTTGCTTTGGTTATTTTTCAGGTGAGGTCTTATGTTTTTGTCCTGGACTAGGTGGGAGTACATTGTGGCATCCACAAAAGTTCTTACAATATATTGTATATATCATACTGAATGCACCCCCTCCATCATTCTCCTTTATTCCCCACCCCAAGTTACCTTTTAAAGCAGATAAGAATATGAAAATGATTTTTATTTGCTTTTCATGTATTCTTTCTCTGATGCTCTTCCTTTCTCTATGTTTATCTAAGCTTCTGACCTATATAATTTTCTTTTGTCTGAGAAATTTATTTGACACTTCTTAGAAGAGGTCTTGTAATGAATTCTTTTGGGGTTTTTTTGTTTGTTTGTTTGTTTGTTTGAGAATGTCTATTTCCTTCAGTGTTAAATATAATTTCATTGGATATGGAATTCTAAGCTGGTATTTTTTTTTTTTAGTTTTTTATAATAAATTTTTATTAGGGTATATTCATTATACAGGGGGGGATTTGTAGTGACAGTTCCGATCAGACTTACATTGTACGTTAGTTACATTGCTCCCATTGTCTCTCCCCCTCAGCCTCCTCCCCCCCATACTAAAAGCAATTGCAAGAGGTTTTTTAGCTCTGTTTCATATAGGTATGTGAAGTCCATCTGCCATATACCGTCACCTTAATAGACTGGTATTTTTCAATATTTTAAATATTTCATTCTATTCTTTTTTTTTTTTTTGATGGAAGTGGGGTTTGAACTCAGGGCTTTGCACTTGCAAAGCGGGTGCTCTACAGCTTGAGCCACACCTCCAGCCCATTTTGCTCTGGTTATTTTGGAGGTAGAGTCTCTCGAACTATTTGCCTGGGCTGGTCTTGAACTGTGATTCTCTTAATCTCAGCCTCCCAAGTAGCTAGGACTACAGGCATGAGCCACCAGCACATGGCTTATTTCACTTTACTCTAGTCTCTGATTTCTATTGAAAAGCCCACTATAGTTTTATAATTAAAATGATTTTCAGTATCTCCCCATTCTTCCCCCCCATTCTGCCCTGCTTCTTTTAAGATTTTTCTCTTTGTCTTTGAGCAGTTGGATATGATATAACTAGGTGTGATTTTCTTTCTATCTTTCCTTCTTTTTCTTTCCTTCTCCCTTCCTTTTCTCCCTCCCTCTCTCCTTCCCTCTCTCCCTCCCTTCTTTCCTTCCCTCCTTTTTTGGATCCTTCTTTACTCCACACCAATCCTTCCCTCTTCTTGGGCTCTGACTTCCCTGTGCTAGCCCAGTACTAAACATGGATACTCTCTCTACCCCATTCAGGCCTGCCTTCCACACCCGGTTGTCCACTCTACTTAGACATTTTCAGCCCATGTGGACTCCAAGATCCCACCATAAGCTGCTTCTTTAGACCTTCCTTTGTCTCTGATACCCACACCAGGCCATGAGTGGAGGCCCCATGAGAAGATGCCTTCCTGTACCAGGCCTTCCTAGGGGAAATGACTTCTTCACCACATGGGTTTCAATACTCCTCACCAGTCTGTTCTTCCTGGTGATGCCCTCCTTAGCCTCTGGCAGGAACATCACAGAAATAACACTATTTTCACTCTACTGTACCCCAAGAAGTAACCTGATTTCAGTTGGTCCCATTACTGATGTTGTTAACTTGGCCACTTGATTACAGTGGCCTCTCTCAGACTTCTCTGCTAGAAATTTCTTTTTCTCTAAGTAATTAGCAAGTATTTTATGAAGATCATGTAACTTTTCCATTCCTCATCAAACTGTCCATTTATTCAGTGATTTATATCTGTATAGATTATGGTTTTCTATTATCCAATAGGTTATAATCTGTTACTTTCATCGTTTTGTGTTTTGGTTTTTAAAATTTTCTTGAACAAAATAACCGGTTTTGTTGTGACATTTCCACTCATGCTTATAATGTTCTTTGATCTTATTGTCCACCATCACTGTCCCTTGTCCTCTTCACTTGTCGTTTTGATGTTGACATTGCTCTAGATTTGGTTACGGGACCTCCCTGAAGCTGACTTCTGTACCCTTTGACATATCCTCACAGCATTCTTTGAGTACTTTCTTATTTTCTGACACAATGAGACTTGCATTTTCCCTGTGCCAGACCTACAAATAGCCATCAGTCTAAAGAGAAATCAGAAACTGGTCACTACATATGCTTGTTGTATTGGGGTTCATTGCTTCTAGGCTTTGTTGGTGGACAGAACTGGGGAGAGAGCTGCATCCATGTATATATATATATATATATATTTACATCTATTTCTCCAAATACATATGATGTTTTTATTGATATAATACCCAAAATGTAAAATTTACCACATTAGTTAGTTATTTAGTTAGTTATGCTGGAAACCAAACCCAGGACCTGACCACGCTCAACAAGCACTCTATGTCCTCAGCCCCTATTACCTCCTTTTTATATTTGTTCCACCCTTTTGTAGTAGCAAGCAGCTGTTTGCTTACTCTCTTCAGTATCTTTTTTTTTTCTGAGCCCCTTAGTCTCCTACTTCTGCCAGGCAGATGTTCCCTGACCTTGCTCGTTCCTGACTCCTCACTCAGGCCACAGTCCAAGCAGATGCCTTCTTCCCCTGTTCAGGCTCCATCACCCACATTGCTCGGAGCCAGTTCTACCTGCCATGAATCTCCTCAAACCCAGCCAGGCATAGTTGACTACTCCGCTCAGCACCAACTAGTAACTTTAGTAATAATTGGTCAGGAGAGGATAGAATGGAAAGGAAGAGAAGGGAAGAGGGAGAACAGGTACAGGGAATTTAACGGAGCATTATTGTGGCCTAAATTAGTAAGTATACTCCTAAGGTCCTTGGGTATAACCAGCCCAGTCTGATCCAGCTGGTCAGTTTTTACTTCAACCATTCTACCCTGAACCTGCCTCTCCACAAAGAGGAAGGAGATTAGCCATTCAGTTAACTATCAGGGCCAGTTAACTCTACTGTACGGTTGGAACCCAGGGCCGGCATTTAAGCTTTCTACGACGTAAGCATTACCCCCAGCATTTTTTTTGTTTTAGTTATTTTTTTCAGATAGAGTCTCATGTTTTTGCTCATGGCCAGCCTTGGATAGACAGTGATCCTCCTATTTATGACTCCTGCTTAGCTGAGATCACAGGAACCGTGCATAGCTGATAGATTGAGGTAGGGTCTCAGTGACTTTTTGTTGGGGCTGGCCTCAAACCTCAATCCTCCCAATCTCCTCCTGCTGCATGCTAGTATTATAGTTGTGAACCACCATGCCTGGCCTATAATTCTACATCTTAAATATCTTTGAGTAGCTCACTTAGGCTGGGGCAGTAGGGATATAGGATTAGATTAAATTATTCATTACTCCCTGTGTAATAAAAGGGCAGGAGTAAGACATACAACTAGAACATTTGAATAAAAGAATAATGATATGAAGAAGAAAGTATGGGTTTTTAAAAAATGGTATCAACTCTCAGTACAGTAAGAAAAAGATTACATGAGAGCATTCACTATACCTAGCAATAAGCAAGTCCTAATACAGGCTAAGATTTAAGTGTAACATGAAGCCCAAGTATGATAGAAAAATGAGTACTGCAGGCTCTGCTGAAAACCTCTATGGGTAGAGTTTCATTAAAATGGTATTAAGAAATCTATTTCCTAAATGAGACTACTTTGATGTGTTTGATTTTACTCTTTGTTTTTTTTCCTTACGAAAAGGGCAAACCTTTGGCACTATAAATTAATATAAACCTTGCCCCAATTTGGCATTAGGTAATGAG